TAAAAGCAATGCGACTCCTTCAACAGGAAGTTGTGGCCTAACACCAACAATAACTGGCCCTTTGACTAACTCCGATGTGATATGAATACGATGGAGGGGAACTTTAGTAAAACCTAATTCAATGCCTTGCATCAAAATATGGGTACCTGTGAATGACTCCTCAGATAAAGGAAGGACACCTTCTAACAACAAAGTCTGAGATGCACCCGTATCTCTAAGAATCTTAATTGGCTTTGAATTGGTACCGTCACTTGACAGTGACACAGATCCTTCCGACATGAAAGGCTTATAATCCTCCATAATATCACTATGAGTTGATTTCTCAGTATGAGTATATGAATCCCAAACAATGGGCTTTCTTGAAATGGGAACTGTAGCACAACCATTTGAATGAGCAGAACCAGACATCTCTCTTCTATTCTTTATCCTATAGCATTCAGAAATAAGATGACCAGGCTTTTTACAATAATTACAGGTGACATTTGATTTTGGACCTGAAGAATTTGATTGATCTGATTTTGAGCTAGAACTCTGTGATGAATGAGACTGGTCTTTTGCTTTGTTTGATGTATTAGATGATGAGGACTGATTTGATTTTGTATCATATGAAGGTTTGTTACCTTGATAACCTCTATAGTTAGGATTGCCCTTGATAAAACTACCCTTATGAGTAAGAGCATAATCATCAGACAGGGTGGCAGCCTGACTTAAAGTTTCTACCTTGTGTTCATCTAAGTAAGTTCTAATGTGATATTGAACACAGTTTTTAAATTGTTCTATTAGCATAAGCTCTCTGAGCTTCTTAAACTCTTCAGATACATCTTTAGAGACAAGCCACCTGTCAAAAAGCTGCTCTTGCTCTCTAGCAAACTCAACATGGGTTTGGTCACTCTGTTTGTGGGCATTTCTAAATTTTTGTCTGTAAGCTTCTGGCACTAGTTCATAAGCTTTAAGAATCGCATTTTTAATAAGGTCATAATCAGAGCATACTTCTGCTGAGAGAGAGGCAAATATTTCACTTGCTTTACCAATGAATACACTCTGGAGCATAACTGGCCATGCTGATTTAGGCCAGTCTAGGCTCTGAGCAACCTTTTCAAAATGTGTAAAGTATTTATCAACATTTTTCTCTTGAAATTTAGGTACAAATTTCAGAAATTTTGAAGCGTCAAACCTATTTTCAAAATGTTGATGCATAGTAGCATGTTCATCAGATTTGCTTTTAGCTTCTATTTCAAGCCGTTTTAATTCAATTTCTTTTTGAATTTCTTGTTCCTTTAATCTTATTTCTTTTTCATTTTGTAATCTAAGTTCAATCTCTCTCATTTCTCTTTCATTTTGCAATTCTTTCTCTCTCAACTCAAGTTCTTTGAGCTTAATAGGATCGGCAGGCTCAACATGCTGGGCTGGCTCCATGGAAAGCTTTAATGCTTCCTCAGGCAGAATTTCTTCTGCTACCAAATATTGCACTAAAAGGTTTTTAATTGTGCCTTTTCTGTAGGAAGTTTTAACTGCTAAGCCAACATGTTTAGCCAGTGCCAGAAGATCAGTTTTCTTTAAACTGTCAAATTCCTCCAAAGAGGGCGCTTCTAAAAATGTCTCAACCTCAAAACTCATTTTCAATTAATTGCTGTCTTCACAATTTAAATATACAAGTTTTGGATTTTGAATTTTTAAAATATTTGTATTTTAGCTTGTTGTAGTTGGTTCCCGGACGAGCCCCCAATTTCTGTTACGTTCGAAAATAACAGAAAGTAAAAACAGCAATTAAAATATGATAACAATATATTTATATTTTGAAAAACTAAATAATATAACAATAATATAAAGGAGGTTTAATACTTAAGTGATGTCCAATCAATGATACGGCTTATTCTTGTTGTCGATAAATGTCGTTGACGATCCTAGAGAATGTTCCAGATCACGAAATGTTTCAATAATCGTTGATAGTTCTCCAATGTTTGTAATAATCCAATAATGTTTGTTGTAATCCTATAATGTTCGTATCCAATAATGTTTGATGATAATCCACAAATGTTCGATGATAATCCACAAATGTTTATGATAATCCACGAATGTTTATGATAATCCACGAATGTATATGATAATCCGTATATAGTGTGTGTTGTAATATATGTCCATATAAAGTCCTCAGGTTGTATGTTTGTAGAGTTATAAATGTTCCCACAGTATGTGTCTGTTATTTTCTGTTAAGAAGATGTCCTTTGATCAACTTTGAAATTCTGCTTTATTTAGTTCCTTTGAGATGTCCAGTTATGATTACTTAATTATCTGCTACAGAGTAGATGTCCAGTTATGATGACTTAATTTATCTGCTACAGAGTAGATGTCCAGTTATGATGACTTAATTTATCTGCTACTGAGAGTCACTGTGCTGTTCTTTTTATAATGTGAAAGAATGATCCAGAAACGAATCTTCTGGAACTACATCTTGATTGGACATCTTTAGTGACATGATTAAATTTTAATGAATGGTTATAATTTCTAGAACTATCTGGATGGTCAAGAGTTAATGAGTCATTCAGTTCAGTTTTGTTTACAAGATACAGTGTATAATGTCATTGTGACATTGACCTAAGATCTCTAATAAAGATAGCTCAATATATACAGCAAGCATACATTACAAATTAAACTATAGGTGAATATAGTAGAATATGATATACATGTAGCTCACTACTGTAACAACATACAAAACCGATGTAGAAAACATAACATCATCTGCTTGTTTTAATTTAACCACAACTCAGAGTTCGGGCACCGCTGACACTGGTTTCACTCCCACCATCCTCGTAGTTTCTATAGTTTACGGTATCAGTTTACTCTTAGGAATATCTGTACTTTTAATTGTTATCATTAAGCGGAATTTAATAAGGATAGGGAACAGTAATAGAGGTACATCAGATAGTTCTGGTTCAGTTGGGGACATTGAGATGAACTATTTACGTTGATCAACTGAGGGGAACTTGATAACACGAGGAGAGAAGCATTACAATATAACAGGGTGCATTGTAAAGTTTCCAAACTTTTACCATGGAGTGAATACGCCTTATAATGGAATAATCATATCAAAACGCTGGGTGCTGCTATCTTTATTTTAATCGAAGCATTAATGAACATCACAAAACTCATAATTGACGTTTCCTGTATATATTTTCATGTGAACAGACAGGTTTCTTTACATGTTGTTTCAATACTTAAGACTAATGAAAGTGTTTATTTCTGCGTAGCATACATGTATACACCATTGATCATTAATATGGAATAATGGTCATTTCACCATTGATTTTACTGATTTCAAAGTGATCTAAAGCGATAATGAATAAAGACTTTTAAAATATTTTTTAAAATTTTCTGCGTGCTTAACCAAACAAAATGTTGTAGCTGTTTAAGTTCAAGAAATTCTTTATCTTGTGAGGTAACCAATATTCAATATTTATGACCTTAGAGGCGGGGTCAAAATATCAATGTTCATATGGAGACAAAAGTAATTTCGTTTGGACAACAACCCCCCAGCCCCCCTCTAGACGAAAGCTTAGGTCACTTCAAAAAAACATTGATTTTCAGTGACTGTCAAATGATTTGGAACCCGTGATTACATCGATGAACATGTTACACACGTTCGCAATTTAACTGCATTGAACTCTTCAAAAGGAGGAGGGAAAAGTACGGAATTTATTTGAAAAATGATCGAATTATTGTCTTTATCTACCGATATTTTGGACCTTTCACACAAAAAAGCTCACAAACTATTGAAAACAAGCCTTTTTATCAGAACATAGCGCCAGAAAAAGTGGGTAAGTCCAATTATTTTTTGCATATCAGATCCGAATTATCGATGTTTTTTAGGTCAACGAAACTGCCCAAAAACCCCCTCCCCCCTCGCGAAAGTACTTTCGT